CAACTCGAGTCTAACTTGAAAAAATTAGGATTTTGGCAATGATTTTTTATACTTGGGTTAACTGAACCCGAAAAATAAAAAAATTATATATATATATATAAATCATTAACACTAGTTTTTCATTTTTATTCTATCGTTCTCTATCTCTCTCGTTCTCTTTGCCTCTCTTGTTCTCTCAGCCTCTTTGATTAAAAACTTGGTTGAAATTATTGGTCGTTAATTTAAGTAAATATTATGTAATATATATATTAGGTTTAAAATAACAAACTTATTTTTGGCTCTACCTAAATTGAATCCGAATTAAACCCCCTAAAGTAACCCGAATTCAACCCGATCGAATTAAACTCGGATAGTGCTCGGGTTGAATTTTTCAACCCGAGGTAGAGTTAGGGTTAGGATTTAGGTTGAATATTATATATCTAGGGTTAGATTATGGTTGATTATCCAACCCGCCCGAGTTGCACCCCTTCTAGAGACAATTATTTATTAACCTTGAGTACCGAAAAGAAACAAATATGTCTTAAGGAGCTTGGATTATTTTTTATTTCTGTTATTTCTTATTGATATTCTGCGTTCAAGTAAGCGCATTACTTTTGTTTTCATACATTTGATTTTTACAATTTTTTTGCATATAACAATATACACGGAGATGAGAGACTTGTTGCAGTAATTATTGTTTAATTATGATTACAAATATTGATAAGAAAATACTCTATAATACCAAAAATCGTACATTAATCATGTAATATTAATGTTTTAGATAATATTTTTATCCTTTTTTTAAAAGTTATGCAATTTAAAGTTATAGTGCACAGAGAAAAAATAAGAGAGAATTAGGGGAGATAAAAGAAAGAGGTATGTGTAGATTAATGTGATTATCTGATATTGAGAACTCTGTTGGTTGAATTGTCCAACATTAGAGGTTGTATAGAGAAGATGGCATTTTTAGGCCCAAAAAAAAAATGAGATGAATTTTATACCACTAAACCATTTTTAATCGTTATTATGTGTTTATAAATTGAAAATACAACCTCTTAAATGTAATATTATATAGATGCTCCAGTTATAACCAAATTAATTAAAAATAATGATTAATTCACATCAATCATGTACGAAGATCAAGTAATTGATAGATTAATATTCCACATCAATCTCTATTCTCTCTCTCTCTACCGGCCCTTGAACCCACAACCAAGTGGTTAAAATTTGATGTCCGCAACCACCGAACTAGAAGGAAGGCCGGTTCATATTCCACCGAGCGAGCTATTTGTCTTGCCAAGAATCTTAACTTATCTCGAGATGAAATTAAGAAATACGAACACCTCTATATGGGGGGGGGGTTCTATTTTACTTTGTTTCGGTTTTTTCTTCAATTTTTTTTTTTGTCAGTATTTTATAATCTGCTAAAAAAGTATTATTCGAGAATTGGAATAATTGAGTTCATCATTACAGTTGATAGTGATCAATTGATATATATATTTAACAAAAAAGAAGGCAAATACCTTGTAAAATAGTTATGGGCAGGTTGATCACGGGATAGAATTAAGGTAAGAATATAGATTATGTTGATAGTTTATTAATCNTTTAACAAAAAAGAAGGCAAATACCTTGTAAAATAGTTATGGGCAGGTTGATCACGAGATAGAATTAAGGTAAGAATATAGATTATGTTGATAGTTTGTTAAGCNTATATATATTTAACAAAAAAGAAGGCAAATACCTTGTAAAATAGTTATGGGCAGGTTGATCACGGGATAGAATTAAGGTAAGAATATAGATTATGTTGATAGTTTATTAATCTAAGGCTCACAGGGGTGGTGGCGCAGTTGGCTAGCGCGTAGGTCTCATAGCTTCTGAGTTATCCTGAGGTCGAGAGTTCGAGCCTCTCTCACCCCAATCAGTTTTATAATCTTTTTACTTGCACACAAATATTATTGTCTTTTCCTATTTGCATCTATATGAGACTGAGACTGAGACTGAGACAGAGACAGAGACAGAGCCAGCAGATATGGATGAAGTTTAGATGGGAAAGAAAGATAGAATACAAGCATATATACATACACGGTTCATATTNTCTTTTTACTTGCACACAAATATTATTGTCTTTTCCTATTTGCATCTATATGAGACAGAGACAGAGACAGAGCCAGAGCCAGCAGATATGGATGAAGTTTAGATGGGAAAGAAAGATAGAATACAAGCATATATACATACACGGTTCATATTAATGATCGTGTTCAAATTTGACCAATCAGTCACTATGAAAAAACAACATCTTGTTAATAATAGATGCTATGATCAAATTCAAGTAGAAAACAAAGGCCTCTTAACTAGAGTCCAACACATTCAAAACCATTCTTTCCTAAAAACCTTTGAAGGGTTGCAATGATTTATGAGTGACAGGTATACCTCTTGTACCAAATTCTAGGATTTATGAAATATAGACGTGCGTGCATGATACGACAGTTGTTGTATAANTCAAAACCATTCTTTCCTAAAAACCTTTGAAGGGTTGCAATGATTTATGAGTGACAAGTATACCTCTTGCACCAAATTCTAGGATTTATGAAATATAGACGTGCGTGCATGATATGACAGTTGTTGTATGAAAATTATTTAAAAATTGATTTAAAGTCTAGAAATATAGAACGAATTGATCCATTTGATATTAGGATTGATGTGAACGGCTTTTATGAGAACATTCAGTGCTGAAGAAGTAAAGTGGATCGATCTCATGACTAAAAGGGTTGATCTAGTTTTGTGGGGGAATTAGAAGAAAGTGTCAAAAAATTAATAGGGATCAATCTATTTTTATGTGAAGGCCACGACAAATTAGTGAGGATCGATCTCGGTAATTCCCCATTGCCACAAGGATTGATTGAATGACAAAAATGAGCAAAGATTTAGAGTCCTTTCTTACTTTGACTATGTACCACCATCTTAGTGTAAATACATCGTCTTTCCTTGGTGAAAGGAATGATCAACGGTTCTCCCCCATTTTTCTAATTTTATTTTTATCAAAATTTTTAAGGAATTTAGCATGAATTGCAAGTAGTTTCTTTATATTATTTTAGTTACAGTTTGGTTGATCTGTGAATGTTTATTTCAATATTTATATTAATGCAATTTGATTTTATTTAATCCGATTGATTGAATATTTTTAGCAAAGTTTGGTATTTTATATCAATTGTTTGATTATTTAGTATAAAAAAAATTATGATTCTCCTGAGTAGTTTAAACTAGATCTTCAACTTTTATTTTCAATCATCAACAAATTTTTATTCAGAGAAAGATCTTCCAAATAATTTACTGTAATATCAGAGATTAACCAATTAAATTACTATTGTATAAATATAAGCAAACTAGATTTTCGAAGCTAAAGAATATATTTTTCAAATATTATTTTTTCCAATTTTTACTTTAATTATTCTGTGCAAATATTTCAACTTTTAAAGAAACCATTCTTTCTTTATCCTGTCAAAAATATTAATTTTTTGAGAATTGACCTCAGACCCTTAAGTTATTATTACAACTAGACTACATGTACCTAAATGTATATTTGGGATTGAAGAAAGGGCTATATTTTACGTTGAACTATAAATTATTCTATTTGATTTTCCGCGCTAACTCTATTTTTTTCAATGATATATTCCTTCCAAACAAAAAAAAACAAAAAAGAAAAGAAAATCAGCATCAGTCCGTTGAAATTTGAGTAAATCATATTTTATCCCTTTAAATTATTATCTTTATTTTATTTTATATTTTTAACTATAAAATTTTTTATATTATACTCTAAAGTATCAATTTTATTTCATACCATTCTAATAGATAACGGAGGTCAGAAGAAAAAAATTTAAAATTTAAAAAGGATAAATTCATAAATGAGTATTTTTCTTGATTTTTTATAACCACTCTCACATGCGTATTTATCGTTCAAAAATTGACGATCGTTATTTATTAGAGTGATATAAAATAAAATTAATATTTTAAAATATAATGTAAGAAATTTTCCAGTTGAGGGTATAAAATAAAATAAAATAAAGAAAATAATTTAGATAAAGTGTAATTTACCCTTGAAATTTCATAATCATTGGATTTGGCTCAGCTTCCTTCCCCATGTTCTGTCTAAATTTGGATCAAACGTAAGCTCAGCATCTTTCGGATTCAACCAAGGCCCCACTCGTGTCCCCACACCACTGCTCACCAAAATCATTCTTCTTTCCATTTCCTCATTGACCGACCGACCCAACCTCCTCTCTCTCTCTCTCCAACCTCAGCCGCAGCTCTGCACTAGGGTTTCCTCTCTTCTCCATCGTGGTCTTCTCTACCAACTTCAACTTCAATTACAGAGAGAAGAAGAAGAAGAGCATACACGCACTTGGCGCATCTCTGAGTAGCGCAAGTCAAGGCGTAGTTATCTCAACCCTTAAGAGTAGCTCCCTCCTATTTTACTCTCTGATTTCTGTCTGTTTACTCCTTTTCCAACTCTGGAGAGAGAAACTAGCGTCAGAAACTTGATTGTTCTTTAGGGTTCTTTGATCTCTTTGTCCTCATCTCAAAACCGAAACTACTGTTGAAGATATTCTGGGCCTTGTTGAATTTTAGAGCAAGTTCACAGAGGAAGGGTTGTTGGGTATTGAAGCTTTGGTGAAAACAGCGATCTTGATCTGGGCATAGCATTTGGAGTGGTATTGAAAGTGATTCGAATCTGGGGTTCACAGAGCTAAGAAAAGGGTATGCTTTCTGTTTCTTCAGTTTCAATTAAACCAGTGGCTATCTCTTCTGTGTTTGTCTCTTCAATGTTATAATTTAGGGTCTTTGAGCTTGAATATGAAATTGAAGTTCTAGGTCTTTATGAAATTGAAGTTCTAGGCCTTTATGAAATTGAAGTTCTGGGTCTTTATGTTGAAGCTTTAAATGGTGTAAATTCGTGGAATTTTTGGGGAATAAAGAAGGAAGGGTTTGCATTTTTGGCTCTAAGTTAAGTTGAAGTTGAGAAAATGGATGACTCGAATCGGTCGACGAATAGGCATGATATTGATCATTTGGGTGTGAACAAGATGGGGAAAAATATACGAAAAAGCCCAATACACCAACCCAATTTTAATAATTCTGCTAGGCAACAACCTCAACCTCAGGTTTACAATATAAACAAGAATGATTTTCGGAACATTGTTCAGCAGCTGACGGGTTCGCCTTCGCATGAACCACTACCTAGACCTCCCCAGAACCCACCCAAATCACCTAGCATGCGGTTACAGAGAATCCGGCCTCCTCCACTGAACCCAATAAATCGACCCCGAATCCCCATCCATCCCCCCGCACCACCACAGCCGCCCACAATGGTTCCTTATGTTAACAACTTTGATAGACCACCTGCTCATTTTGGTCAACCCTCGCCCACTATGTTGCCGCCATTGACTCCGAGTGATTCTTTTTGGCCAAATACAGCTGAGTCTCCTGTTTCAGCTTACATGCGTTACCTTCAAAATTCCTTCATAGATCCAGGGCCAAGACAAACTCAACCTCATCTTCAACCATTTCCTCATTCACAGCCTCAATTTCCGGGCCAACTTCCAGCCCATCCACCACCATCTGGGTTAATTCCTAACCCAGCTCTGCCTCCTCTCCCGTCTCCTAGGATGAATGGTCCTCCTCCTTTTCCATCCCCTAGGATGAATGGTCCTCCTCCCCCTCTTCCATCTCCGCGGTCGAATGGTCCTCCTCCTCTTTTACCCTCTCCCACTTCTCAGTTCCTTTTGCCCTCGCCTACTGGTTTCTTAAACTTGTTATCGCCCCGATCACCTTATCCACTGCTTTCTCCTGGGTATCAGTATCCTCCCCCACTGACACCAAATTTTTCGTTTTCTCCAATGGCTCAGTCGGGCATATTAGGTCCTGGACCTCAACTACCGCCTTCCCCTGGTTATGGATTTCCATTGTCTCCGTCAGGATTTTTCCCCATTTCAAGCCCGAGATGGAGGGATCAATAGCCCTAGACAGAAAGCTGCTAACTCTGTGTGGGTTCCATGATTGATTCTAGCAAGGACTTTCTTAATGGCGATTTTCTTCTTCTGATGGTAGCTTCAGTTGTATATGTACACTATAAGTGTTAGAGAGGTCCTCTTGGAAGTGTGCCGTCTGTTGTTTTCCCTTGTTTATCAATAGTTAATACCCATTTTGCAGACATGTTCTTGGATATGGGGCCGTAACAGCTGGGATCTGGTCATTTCTTAGACATTTTTTTCCTTCATGATATAGAGAAGATCGTACAACTCATCTGAACACTTGGGCAGAGCTGTAACATGAAAGGATGTAGGATTACAGACACTGAAAATTAATGACTAGGCTGTCTGCTGGAAGAGTTTTCCTGTTAATGTAATATTGTGGATTAAACTTCAGTTAGTTTGAATCGATATTCTTCCCCATGGGAGGAGTTTTCAAGGTTTGCTCTTATCCTAATTTTTCAGTTTCATGCATAATAAAGGATTTTTCTATTTGAACGTGTAATGAATTTCATGGAGAAAATTTTGTGCCGAGAAGATATTTGATTGAAGCAGAGGAAAAGTTACGTAAATTACAGTTATTGCATGGGATATAATTTTCCTCTTATGGTTGATCTTCGCATGAGATGTTTCCTGGCACTCTTCTAGTTCAATGTTTGGTTAATTATCTAGAATGAGAATGAACTTTCAAGATTTTTTTTCTGAACTTGTGTGTTGATTGAACTTACCTGCATCTGTGGAATTGTATATTGTTTCTATCTCCTTTAGATGCCCGGGTCAATAGTCATTTATAGTTTGTAAAAATGAACGTTTCTTTTGAGTTCAATCTCCTATCGCTATTGACATCTCATTAATGTTTCATTTGGTATGATGAAAAGTTGGAAGGATAAATTAAATATCATGTTTGGTTATGAAGGAAAATAGGAAAGATAGAAAAGGCTGATGAATTAACTTTCTTTTTGACTCACCAAAATTAATCTCTCCAAAATCGGAAGGAAAGTGGATAAAAAATTAATTATTTATATTAAGATGTATTTTATTTGTCTATATATTATGTATACATTTATTTCATATAAAAATACAATGATAAAAATACAATATATATATATATATATATATATATATATATATAAAATATTTTTTTCGTCCTAACTAGAGGTGAAAATTTTCTGCTTAACACGATACCACGACTCGAACTTGACACGAATTTGAAAATGACCTGACACGCGAGGAAGAAATATAAAATGTTCATAATTTTATGACTCAACAAGAATCTAATACGACACGATTTGATTGTCACCCTTAATTTTAGCCAGTACAAAAAAAAATAAAAAATAAAAAATATATATATATTTTTTTCATTCATCCAACCAAATATAAAGGAAAAAAAATGTATCATTCTTAATTTTCATCCTTGAAGGATAGAAAGTTTATCTCTCTTAGTTTTCATTCTTCATATTTTTTACATTTCATCACCAACCAATATATATATATATACACCTTACGTACAAAACTTCTCTCTGCATATCTCTCTAATGTGCTTGTGTGCATGTGCGAATTGAGCACTGGGTGAATTTTTTCCCTTTCTCAAATTTGTAAGTTTTACCATGAAAATGTCATTTCATGTAATCACGCCCCATATTCTTGATTTTGACCCTTTAGTCTTGTGCTTCGAGTTGATGCTAAGCTCGGCTTATCTCTTTCTCTGCTGCATTTCTGTACTATTCTCGCTTTGATATTTAGTGATGCACTTTGACCACCAGCTGCTAACTTCAGTGATAATTCCTTGCTGCCCCAAAGAGAAAAAGAGGAGAATGGGAAAAAAAAAATTTGGAGGGGGAGGGGGGGGGGAGAGGCATCTTTTTCTCCATTGTATAATTTCAAGTTGTTATNAAGGAAAAAAAAAGGGGGGGGGGGGGGGGGGGGGGGGAGAGGCATCTTTTTCTCCATTGTATAATTTCAAGTTGTTATATAGTATAAATAAGTTGCAATTATGAATTACTAGGATACTAGCCTCCATATACCTGTTGTTTTTTGGGAATAATTTCAAGGTTTTATACCTAAAAATGTCTTGCCTGCATTTTGTGAGGCAAATGTTAGAAAAGCATATCAATGATGTTTTGTAAGTATTTGGCGATCTCCGTTGAATTCTGTTGTTTACTACTTGTTGTTCTACTGCACGTGTTGTTTTTATTGACGTTGGTTGGGCTGGTTAATTTTTCAAGTAGCTACAATGTTATCTACATGTGAAAGGACTTTCCTGTATGTGGCAAATTTCAGAGGTGACTAAGTCACCGCTTGGTAGATTTGATTCAAGAGATGTCTGATAGCTTGGATGGTTGAGTATGGTGATACTTATAACAATCCTAGGGAAAGCTTTTGTGCTCACTTTACAATGATGATATCTCTATATTGAGCTCTAGCAATCAGAAACAGTTGGTTTTTCTGTCCTCCTTCCAACTAATACTTCTCTTTCTTGTATTATCTTTATCCTGTACTCCTTTCTCCCTCTTCATATTTTATTCTTTTGAAACTGTTTAAAAAATTGATTTTCTATGTCAATGTCGATTACTGCTATGGTTATTGGGGTATCTAATCCTATTTGCTCCCTTAGCTTTCACCTCTTGGTGTTGGTGTTGGTGTTGGTGTTGGTGTCGGTGTCGGTGTCGGTGTCGGTGTCGACCCAGCAGATGCTTTCAATGTTGATATTCTTTCCATTTGTCATGCGTTTCAATAGTGCACCAGAAATTTCCTTTGCCCCTTGTTATTTGAAGTGTCATTTAGTGTTGGCATTTGTGCTTCATACCGAGCAGGGTGGTCTGGCCTTCCAGGCTTTAGCCTGAACTCAAGCAAAGCTTATATGGACAAAGCCACTTGATGGATGTGGGTTGCTAGAAACAGGGGGGGCTTTCTGACGCAAAGAACACAATAAGAGTAAAACTTACAATAGGGGTGGTCATCGAATCAACCGAATGAGTTTTATCCCAATCTTACAAGCTCATATTTCTAAACGATTGTAAAAAATTGTTTAAACTCGACATGATTTTTAAACGAATGAGCTTGAGTAGCTTGATTATTTTATATATAAATAATCTAAGTTTTGCGAGCTTGAGTAGCTTGATCTCGAAACAAGTCAAGCTTATAAAATTTGTTTTCTAAATAAGCCTAAAAAAAAAATTCGAGCTTAACTTGTTTTCTAAATAAATGAATTTGAGTCTAGTTAAAAATGAACCAAATTTGGGTAGCTCAAATCGTTTACCGGCCTTACCTCCAAACCATGGTTTATTTCCCATTTTGCATATCAAAGAGGTTCCAACCGTCCACCAATTTCTAGCATCAACAATATTGTTCATCGATGATTTATTTCTACACTGGAAATAGTTTTGAATCTCCCCTCCCTTTAGACAATTTTACCCTAGGTAGGAAAATCAAGTAACAACTTCAAAACATTTGTCATCATCCTTAATCCAGTTATTACATATGACAATGTCTGCATAAGAAGCTATCAAACAAGAAAATACCCAATGAATTGTGGATGCAGATCAAACATTAACCAATATAAAAAGATGACCCAGTTTCTACTATTGTACGGTTTGGAGAGGTTCAGATGTATGTAATTTTAATCCTACGAGAAGACTATCTTTGTAACTCGAATCCTTAATGTCTAGGTCACAATGAACAAATTTTTGCTCCAAAAGCCGGTCTCACGAACATAAAAAAATTGGAAAATTTTTTGGAGATATTATACATAATACAAATGGTAGATGAAAAGAACAGAAAAGTTGTATCAATATTATGCTATATATCATCCTCTTGCTTCTTTATCCTGTTCATCCCTTAACACATTGTCTCAGATCCTCAAAGCTCCAGTCCCTTCTCATCCCACAGCTCCTCACCAATTTTGGTGCACTGCTCTCAAACTCAACTGTTCCACTACTATGAATCCGATGATGAGTAGCCTTCTTGCCTGTCCTTATTTTTTCGTAAGGCCTGGGTGGCGACGCCAAGTTCCCGGACCATCTTCTCTCGACCTTGCCCAAACAATGGCTAAAATGGTGCTTCTCATGATCATATATTTGCTTAAATCCCTTGTCCGAGTCGGTCCTTGGCATACTCTGGCAGGTCAAGCAGTTCAGACTCATGGTGATGGAAAGAGAACTTGACCTGGAAATGAATTAATGGCCTTTGGGTTTGTTGAGGGAAGACGTCTAGGGAGGACCTGGAGGGAGAGACAAGGGATGGGTTTTATGTTCATGTGGTTGAAGTTCCTACATGTTTGGGTGGAAGAGAAATGGAAGAAGATTGGGATTGATAATTACAGTTGTTTTAGGTAGTAACATATGCTAATAACAACCATCGTTTTTCTTCTGTTGAAGATTAGATCCGGAAACACAGCTGAGCCTATACTAATTTGGTTGTGCACACATGTCATTCTTAACTTCCACCCATCTAATATAAGGATAATACGGTTTATCACTTATCTTTCGAACCCATTATAAACTAATTGACAGTAATCGAGCACTAACTTTACCAAAGATTAAAATTATCTGTTTTAATTTTTTTTTTTTTTTAAATCATTGTCTTGTTTATAATTTCTTGAAACTTACTCTTAATGTCATAGACTTGCAGAAAGTTATACTTCACATGTTTGATAGGATTAACTCCTTCTGTAGAGTCTCACTAAACATCAATCCAATCTCAAAGGTTCTTCTTATGAAAGCATCTTTTAGTGAGTAGAAAAGGAGGAGGGCAGGAAAGAGAAAATGGTAAGTCAAAGACACCCAATTAACCCAAATATAACCTACTGTTGTTGTCCCTTCATTTCTTCTGAAGTGTGACCCGCAGATCGAAAAAAGGAAGTATTCAGTGATGTGGAGACTTTGAGCTTGGCTTGGAGTGCAAAATGAATAATTGGTTTGATTGAACGTGGAATTTCATTCATGTGGTGTGAATGTTGTTCGAAAATATTAATGACTTTCTCTCTATGTGCAAATTAATAGAGAATAATCAAAACCATATACAAGCATAAAAACAACCTAAATCAACAACAAGAAACACAAGAATTTTTAACGTGAAAACCCTTCAAGGCGAAGGGAAAAACCACTAGACCAAAACTTGGTCCAATCTCTCCACTATCAACGAAAGTAAGATTACAAATCTTCTAATCACAACTAGAGAAATCAAACACCAAGAGAAAAATATCTCATTGGCTCCAAATATAAAAATTTCACCCTTAGGTGGATTTCAATACAAAACAACTAAAAAGATTTCACCAAAGTGACTGAACTTCTACCATTGAAAACCAGTTGTAAAAGAGTCCGATTAACAACCCGAAACAGTAGAAGCCAGTTGTGGAAGTGAGGAATATTTCCCTGAATTTTCAGCTCGATTGGAGTAGAAATGAGTCTTGAACAAGAGCAAGAAGTGGGCTGATGTCTTCCACTTTTCTCTTACAAAAGAAGCTGTCCACTCTCTTCATTTTCTACAAATTTTTCCCACTCAAAGTGTAAAACCGGTCAAGCAACTTGGAAGACAAAAGGTCTTCAATTCTTGGCTTGTGCTAGACTCTTCTAATGCACACATGCACATGTCTTTAATTTGAGTTGGGTCCCAATGAAAAAGCATAAAAAGAGACACTCAACAAATGCAGGGTGCTTGGTTTGGAATGCAAATGAATGGTTGGTCTGTGGAACTTCATTCATGTGGTGTGAATACATGGTGAAGGTAGGAGAACAATATAAAGAGACACCATAGAAAAAGACATTTTTTACACAAGACTAAACGTCTCACCGTAGTCAATCCTATAGTGCTAAGAAAGCACGAGCAACTAATCAATTCCTTCATACTTCGATCCAATCAATCGAAGTATCAAGACACTGATCTCTTTTGGTTGGGTCGGTAGTTAAAAGAAAGTCCTCGCTTTCTCCTGAACAAAGGAAGGACAGCAAAGCATTAACTTCAATAAAAGAACATCAACCTTAAAAAAGGAAGGTGCTATACCCAAAAAAATGTTAAAAGGCATCAACTTGGCCCAAGCTTTTGGATCCATGATCAAACAACCTTTTCTCAACCAAATTTTAGGACAACGGTTTATATCCCAAAAAAATTTTAGTACCATACCATCATATATAACGGATTCAGATTCCCTCTATTGTCCTTTCCCTTCAATTTCCTTCAATACAGTGCTAAATGAGTGACACTTGTAAAATTTTAAGCTTCAATGGATAAAAAAAAATTTTGTGAGAAAATTCCTTAATAATGGTTAACACTCCACCAACAACAAAAATGAATGAGAAAATATCTTATCCATTGAAATTTAAAATCTTACACGTGTTACTCATCTAGCACTGTATTGAAAAAAATTAAAGGGATGGGATAATGGAGGGAATCTAAATCCATATATAACCTTTTATAAAACTTTTAGGAAGTCTTTTATAGGACTTTTGCGATGTTAGGATCGACCGTAACTCCACCCCCTCCCCCCCAAAAAAATAATAACTTAGTCCCCAAAAAATTGTAATTTGATTCATAAAAATTATATGAAGACTCCAAAAGTTATCATTTTTTAAAAATAAATCCTAACAATTTAAGATTAATGTTAATTTTTCTACTTGTAACTAAACCCTAAAAGCCATTATAGTGGATCACAAAGATAAAAATCTTCGGTATGATATCTCCTTTGCTACCAAAGTCAAATCCCAAACTTTAAGGTAGATTTTGAGTTTGGGTTACTGCCACCAATCAAACAAAAAAATAGATTTGAAAATTTTGTCCATTCAACAAAATTCAATCCTTTATTATTAATTTCACTAATCATCACTAACTCTGCCTTGGGCTCCTCCACCATCATCAAAATAAGAATTAATTATTAAAAAAAAGAGAGAGAAAAAATGATTAGAGTGGACTTATAGTGATTCAGAATAAAGGTCATATCACTTTCAATATTAAACAAATTTCACATGTAAAGCATGATTATTTTCTTATTCTAATAAAGTTTGCTTGTTTTCTTCCACAAAATTTCTTTATGTTATCATTTCAGCCCAGTTAGGTATGGAATAGCCATCAGATTTTCACAATTACGAAATTTGGATACAATAAGTCAGATGTTCACAATCTCACTTCACATGTACATATGATACTGTAACTCAAAGATGCAACATCCATGTCACAATAGAGCAACCATAAAAGCATGGAACACACTATATATGACTTTGTGTGCGTGTGTGTCTGTGTGTGCGCGCGCACGCTTGCCCATGTGTGTCTAAAATTTTTTTTTCCTACTACAAAGTGTTTAAACTTACGTCAACTACTCCCTCGAATTTAACGACTGACTATAGTGACTTGAATTGAATTATCGTGACTTGAACTAGATTAGAATATGTTCCTAAAGAAACAAGGATGACAAACCTTAGAGACCGAGTAATCAAAAGTCAAACTCAACTACTAAACCACCCCTAAAGATTGCATGTCTAAAAATATATGTAAAGTAAAAACAAGCATAGTTCATGTCTTCCTATATGGGGTTTAATTGCAAAGTCTGCTTAAAGAAACAATCTGGAGTATAAACAGGAGTAACATATTTATCAGAAGCCAATTGTCTTCTTCATTTGGTTTGAAATTAACCAAGAACAGTTACAAATTTGGAAATACAAAGTACATATAACACACGTAGATCTTACAATACAGAAGAACAAGCAACATATGATCTCTATGAAACCGAAATACTATCAGGTTTCACGATGATTATATATACGCAGAACTAGACACCATCTAGACTGAAGATCAAGACCAACAATAACATGAAAGCCAAATTCACTAGGTTTTCAATCTAAATTGGCCACGACCTCGGAACATTGTAAAAACTTGTAAAAGACTAATTGGGAAGGAAGTATTATACAGAGTTCCTTACTGGGAGCCTAAAAAATTCCCAGATCCATAACACAATTCACAAACCAACTTTGTTCCTGGAAGCTGTCTATCCAATCCTTATCGTGTTTCGCAAACTCTGGAAGTTAAGGCTATCGTAAGCAGTTCTTGCGTATAATATTGGCTCCCCATCTTCACCGTAGCCTGCTGGATCATCAAATCATTCACCACCGAGACACTAGCATGGTGTACATCTAGGTCTAGCTCCTTAAGGGCTGCCATTAGCCTTGCAGTCGGGTGGTTTTTCTTACTACATTGGATTCGTATCATTGCGTCCCATCCAATGATCTTCACATCTATATCCAAGTCTGCCATCTTGCTTCCGTGGTGGTTTGACATCTTCAGATCCTTTTCAGGTGGAGGTGGAGCTGAATACCGCGATCCTTTACCAGACAGTTCCCTCTTCAATGACTCCAATTGATCCCTCAAGTCCTCTTTATCTGACTCTGAGCTTTGAAGTTTTGATTTCAGCTCGTTGATATAAGCAATAGCATCACCAAGAAGTGAAGCCTTGTCCATTTTCGACACATTTGGAACCACAGCTCGTAGAGCATAGAACCTCTGGTTAAGCTTCTCTCGCCTTTGCCTCTCTGCCTCGACATGATTCAATGGCTCCTCTCTTCCATTAGCCGGCTTCCTACCCCGCTTCCTTGGCCGTTTTTCTGGATCCACAACTCTGCTACTATCAGCATCTTTCACCACTGAGGCCTCAAGATCTGAATGATCCGAGTCTCCACCACCATTCGACTTCACCATACCCGAGGAGGGCAAAACAACACCCGAAGTAAAGGAAAGCATCCCCTCTTCATTACTCCCCCTAGACACGGGTGACCTCTTCTTTTTGTTCTCCTCTGCAGCCCCAATTTGCGATTGACCCGAAAACAAATTCCCATTTGTACCACATGAACTTCTCTTGCTGTCCCCAAAATTCAATATTTCAGGCTTATAAGACTGTGAATTCCCATTTCTTACGCTGCTACTATCAAACCCACAATCCGAAAAGTTCAATTCCCTAGTGAAAAAACCATGTTCTTGGCTTCGCTGCTGGTGTGGGTGGTGTCCGTGAACATGTATTGAACTAGGAGTCTCAGTCAAAGTGCTAGAACTAGGATTGTCACATACAGTTTGCTTTGACACAAGGTGATTAATCGAAGGAATTGAATTTCCCGGAGCAGTATTAACAGACTCCTTGGCCGACGACGAAGGATCGGTCAGCCAAATCACCGACGGATCATTCTCGCCATGCTCCGTCGGCATAGACCACGATCCCGATCCAGAACCCATTTCTATACTGTTAAAATTGAACAAAACCCTAACCTTATTCATGAGATCCGAGCTCTGAAAAATCAATTCTGTTGAACCCAGCTCCACCACGCCATTTGAGGACGGTATACAAACCAAAGTCTGTAATCCAAACACTTGGGCTTGCCGGGCTCGCTCACAGTGCGAGACGGCAAGTCTGTCTGCTCCGGCGATCCAGACCGGCGACGAATTGAAAAAGGCTTGGCCGGGAAGCCCATTTCCGCTATCGAAAGACTGAGTCATTGAAACCAAGAAAAACCACTCGGTGTCGGTAACTTCTTCATCGACGGCTTCATCAGTCGGTGCTTGTTGGCCGGAAATAAGAGAATTGAGCTCACGGAGGACCTTTTTCCGGTGCTCTTGTTCAGCAGACGACGCCGTTTTGCGCTTGCCCTTGTCTTCTTCGCCTTTGTAGTACCCGTCACCCCACCCTAACAACGTCGATTGACCCGCGTAATCAACGGACGAAGCTTGCCAAAATATCGCGTAGGTCCAGCTCTCTCGGGCACCGTCGATTAAAGTTTGAAGGCGCTGTTGAAGGGTTTCTTGGTTGAAGAAAGGAACGGAGGGTTGTGATTGACTCAAACTCTTTGAAAGGTCGATTGTATTTGTTGTTGTTGAAGCGGAGGAAGATTGTGGAGGTGCTGGTGGAAGTGATGGTGTTGATGGCCAAAACGGCGTCAGATCGGAAGACATAAAAGCTTCCATCATTGAACTATTGTCGTCCGTCGTGGACCAAAGGTTCATAGTCGTCGGTGGTAGCCGGAAATCTGTCATTCTATTAACCGTAAACAGGTTTTTCAGATGGTTTAACAAAGGTGAAAAACACAGTAAATTGGGTATTTCTGCGAGATTGATAAGTATGATTGAGGTTCACGACTTTAAGTTATGGTGAGCTAAGGGGTTTTCCGGCAGGTTTTGGAGAGAAATGAAGGCGGCTGGTGGTTGGGGAGAGGAGAGAGAGTGGTGGGCGATTTGGTAGGGGGAGGAGATATGAGAGAAAGAATTTGGGGTGAATTTGGGGGAGATTTGGAGTGAATTTGAGCTGAATTTTAGAGTGAGTTGGACAAAGGAGGCGGGTGGGTTCCAGGAAGGCTCCGCCGATTTAATCGCGAGGTCCATGTAAGCCAGCGCTGGTAAGCGCTACCACCTATATATTATAATTTTAAACTTATTTATTAAATTATTATTATTTTTAAGAAAATGTGTTTTGAAAATGCGCTTGAAAATTAAAAACGCACTTTCAATGAAAATAACGATAATTTGATAAATAAATTTAAAATAATTATATTTAGATAAATAAATTTTAAAATAACAATAGTTAAGTAACCAATTTAATTAAACTATTAGCTCATATTATTTTAAAATGTATTCAGTTTACATTTAATTTATGTGATAGATTTGTATTATGTATGAATCATATTTTGTTTATTTAAATTTGTATCTATCTATTTATTTGACATGTCTAGTGGTTATGTTCATTTACGAGATTCAAAATATTTTTTGAAACGGTCAAAACAGTTCTCTTAATCAAGAGGATCGAAAAAAAATAGCGATTAAATCGAAATTATAATATCTTGAGATATTTTAAAATATTTTTATATTTTTTTACCATTATTTTGTAATATTTTGTGGTATTTCAATATATTTTGACTAATATTTCGAATTGTTTTAAAAATAAACTCTCACCATTTGTGTTGATTTTTACACGAGCGATGCACGTGCTGAAGATTGGGTGGATGTTTGGCAGTGAAAGTTGAAACAGTTGAGAATGTGATTTGAACGACATATGTGATCCCAATATTGCCACGTCAACATTAGAAAAGGGGCTTTTTTTTCTTCTAAATGATACGATTAACTAATTAACATTTGGAGAACCTCAGTTTTAGTGTTATAAGAAATATTTTGTTTTAATTTGATGTGCCTAATTTATGAATGATTATTTATATTTAAAAATCATATAGCAAGCACAAGTAGGTTTGACAATGTTACACACAACACTTGAAATCGATACGAATTTAACAGATTTGGGTATAATTTTAACTGATTTAAGTGGTTAACGGGTTAATTTGACATACTCGTAAACGAATCGATTTTGTATTTAACTCATAAACTCGTCTCATCTCTCAAGCACATTTGAATTTGGTAGTAATTTAATATTTATTTTTTATCTTTACTTTTTGTCTAGTTATGATTTATTATTATAATAAACAGGTCAAATGTGTATAATGTGTGACGAGTTGATGATTTTTTGCATAAATTCAAAATAATCTAACCGATTCTCTTATTTAACAGTTGATACGAGTTATGTCAGATAACTCATCTAATAAACGAGTCATTACGGGTGTGATAGTTAGATTAGTTTATATAAACAAATGAGATATAGATGAAAAAAATTTTGTAACACGAACCCATTCCACCCAGCACGATTGTCAAGGCTAAACACAAGAGTCCAAATAACTTATTGTTGAACACAATCTCAACGATAACAATGAGTTTTATTTAGTTGTTTTCCGAGATATTCTTGCAAAAATAACATTTCAACATGGAGTCGTGAGGTTTAAAGGTGAATGTAGATCATTCTTGTACATAAAATTATACACACATCTTATGTTTCACCTCGATAAATTATTTTCTTTCAATTTAATTTTATATATAATAGCTATATCTATATTTATATCTATCTATACCAATTTTAAAAGTAACTTAAGATGACAAATTTTTAAATCTCTATTTTATCATTATAAAATATTACAAAGATTATTTTATCATTTCACAATTGAATATCTAAATTACCATCATATTTTTATGTCTTTAAATATTTAAATTATCTATAATATCTCTTTGAATTATTTAATCAATTTTTATAAAAAAATTTGATTGATTATATTATCCTTAAAAGTATATATATTATTTTACTTTGAATAAAGAGTTTACAAAATTGTTCAAAAACTCTGGTAATCTAATATTACTCATCTCATATAATAAGATAACATTATACCTACATATATGTATTTTTTTTTATTGAAAAGTTTAATCATTTTATTTCTAAAATAAAAATAATTGAATATATTGTTTTTAAAAACTAATTTATTTACATCAATGTAATTTTTTGGTCACAATAAATTTTATAAGTTGTATTAAAATTTTATGTAAACATAGATATTGTAATATATTTTAAGTAAAACTTGAATTTTTTAAAATTTAATATGCTTAATAATATATATTATAAAGTAGTATATTAAATCTCATCTCAATTGACCTAACTAATTCTTCATTACATTAAAGTTTCAATGTGATTAGTATATTAATAATTACTTTTTATTTTATTCAAGGACCTATAAGTGGAAGTTTAATTAAATGAATTTCAAAAAATTTAATTTCTCAAACATCATTAAAAAATCAATCTTAATCACAAAATTTTAAAAAAATAGAACTTTGACTATTTGTTTGTTTATTTTTTTTATAGTTAGAATAAATAATTTTGGGAACATACAAAATTTTTATAATCATATAATAGGATATGAACAATGAAAAAATAAGTTTGATAAATTTGAGATAATATTTAATTCAGATACATATATACCTAATATGTTTTAGTAATTTTTGTGTACAAAATTATTCATGAAATAAACTTATTACCACGTGTTCAAATAAGCTAGCATAAGCATTAGTTTCGAGAGAAATAATTCTTATCAAGCTATTAATACATGAAGACACTATAGAAACTAAGTAAAGTTTCACTTGTAACTATTATCGATATACACCATATTAAATACTATCCAAAACAAGTGAAACATATAGGGCATGTGTTGGTTATCATCTGCGAAACAGGTTTTTATTCTTAAAATTTTAAAAACACTCAAAACTTATTTACTTAACATTTTTATTCTCAAAATTTTTGAAAAAAATGAGATTTGAAGCACAAAAACAAAAAACAAATTAAACTTGTTTTCACAATTTTCTTTGAAAATTTTGGAAACACGGAGACATGCTAAACAAAATAAATGAAGTCTGTCATTCGAATCCCCTTAACAGCAAACAATGTCTTCTTTTTCTTTTTTTTTTTCCTCTCCCTCTCTCCACTTTGCTCAGCTCTTATTCTCTAGTGTCTTTACTGTGCTTCACTGTCCAGTGTTTTTTTTTTCCTCTCTCCCTTCACTGCCTAGCGTCTGTTTGTCTGTACGTCTCTCTCTCTCTCTCTCTCTCTCTCTCTCTCTCTCTCTCTCTCTCTCACACACACACACACACACACACACAACAATTACAGATCTGTGTGTCTACTTGTGTGTGTGTGTGTGTATGCCTTTGTGTATAAGTTTGTGTGTGCGTGCGCGTGTGTGAGTGTGTTTTGTGGAGACAAAGAGAGGGAAAAGAAAGAGAGGTGAGAATTGTGAATATTGTCTGAACATATTTTATAATTTTTGTTATTTAAAATTATTTTAAAAAATATATAATCAAACAAGTTTTGTAATCTAAAAATTTTTAAAAATATTTTTTTAAAACTCTTCTCAAATATTATTTTTGGATATTATTTTTTAAAACACAAACCAAACGGACAAATAATTGTTTGATTTCAATGGGAAATACTATTTTAATTTCCCATCGTTTGAGTTATAATTTTGGTTCAATATTTAGTCAAACTAGCATGAATATTAGTTGATTAGTTTGAGCTTCCGAGAAACAGCCGCTCTAGCTCAAACCAAATACTCGTTAATGAATATTCAAATAATCGTCAGCCCATTTAATTCTGTGTCCTGCCCTTCCACTTAACTCTAGTTAACATCTGGTTTAGATAAATACAAACAACGGGCGGATAGCCGGATACTAAATAAAGAGGGGTACGCGTTGGCGTCACGACATCTAATCGAGTGACCCCTTGATTTTGTCGTCGCATTTCGTCAGATTCCCATAATGTAAAAATAAATAATTGAGCCACGTTTTAATTGATGCGTGAGAGAGAACACTGGAAAAAGCACCATTACTTCTATATTAATATTATATAGGATTAATTATAAAATGTGTTTTTAATTTTGGATACTTTGTAATTCACTCCTTTAAATTTTAATTTCAATAAATAACTGTTTTTAAGTTTGAATATTTAGCAATTAACTCTAATAGTTATTTTTTGACCATAAAAATTGATTAAAGTTAAACACATGATTTTTACTTTTGTTGAAAAGGCAAAATTACCCTTGCACCTATTTTTTTTTTGTACTAAATATTCATACTTCTCCAACTAGGCACGTAAATGCCCCCATACTCAAAGCTCTTCCATCTTTTTCTACCCTGAATGGTTAACTCTCATTTCATTCCCCTCCCGGTAGAAAGTTTCTCTTCCTTCTAATGTGGCGTGGACAAAGGTGAAGGTGAATATGGTGTTGTGTAATGCATTAGTATTGGGCTAAAAATATGTAGTTTTTGCCTTGATTTTTCATTTCCTTATTTTTAAGGGATGAAATTTATATCTCAAGAAAAATATATAAAATAATGTACAAGACTATAATGGTTCTTTCAAGTGTTCAGAAATTATTTTTAGTTAATTTAATTAACTTGAAACTTAGAAAGAATAAATTATAATATTTGAAACCACAAAAGAACTAATTTCAACAAGTTATAACTCGCGCTTGAAACTATTCAATTCAAAAAATATCTTAATATTTTTGGGTGAATTATTTGTTATTAATAAATGAAGAACTCATTTGTATATAATAATTAAGTGATTTGTAAAAAATATACTCCCTCCGTTCTTAAATATCTGTCGTTTAAAATTTTTG